AATACTTATTGAAGTTTATTTAACCTCTAAATTTCATTAATCATATTTTTTGTAGGAGGCCTTCCTGAAGCTGAATGGGAGCCGATTCCAGTAGTCAGGTAGTGGTTCGACTGCAAGTCATGATCCTTCTGATTACAACTTGCGAAGGGAGGTTGTCAACTATAAGAGAAAGGGCAAGGTCTATAGGTTAGGGTCTCAGGTGCGACCTATGATTCTCATCCCTCTAGCACATCTAGTGCATCAACTTCTACTGAACATGAGAAGTAGCTTTGTAAATAGATTGTTGCTGAGGTTGATGCTCATGTCTCCTCCCAACTTGCCCGAATAAGATCGAATATGGAGCTAAAGATGAAGATAAAGTTCAATGCAATACTATGTTATGCACGACATAGATTAAAGCAACCATCTCAAGATGATGATGAAGAGAGCACAGAGGTGGATAAGTAGGGAGTTATTTTTTTTCTTGTTTTATTTATATAAAATAATTTATTCAAATGAATAATATTTTTTTATGGAAAATTTTTCATTTTGGTTAGTTTAATGCAATCATTTGTCATTTATTTCTATCTTTGGTTTCTGTGTTAATTACTAATGTGATATTAGTTTAATAACTTCTTTGGTTAGTACATTGTGCTGTGTGAAAATTATATTCTTACGATTACATATGTGTAAATTATAGTGGTGGAGATGGAGATTTTTTTTTTCTCAGATGTTCCTGTTTTTTTATGGCTTACTAATGACTTTATGACCCTTTAGATGAGTTCCAATGGTCATTCGTTAGTATCAAATAAGCAACATCTGTCTAAAGTGCTACACTTTTTGACAGCTAAAGGAGTCTGTAATTATCGACGGTAAATCAATGGTGACGCAACACTTTTCCAACTGAAATGCCACACTTTTTTCACAAACATGTCAACACTTTTTCTAATACCGACGAAAATTGTGTGAGATTTATAAAAAATGATGAAATTGCAAAAATACCTTTAAAGGTCAAAGCAGATAAATAAGAAGTACAAAGTTGGAGAATTTAATAGAACTCACTTCAAAATTCATTAATAAATCAATGCCAGTAAAACTGGCTTAATTTAAAAGTTAGATTTGGTAGATTAGTAATTTTCCCTAAAATTATAAATCTATCCTTGCTTAAACATTCAATTCATCAAAATAAAATTTAACTTAATGAAATTACTAAAATTTTAAACTTTAGAGAATTCACAAATTATAAATTGTAAAATTCAACTAAAAATCTAACTGGAAATATAAAGATAGGTGAAAGTGTCATTCACCAAAATTACATACTTACCCTTCTTTGTTGTTTATCTTAAAATGAAACAAATAAATATTGAAAATGGAATAATTTGAACATAAAGAGTGTTTAATACAAAAATAAGCATAAATATTGTAAATTTTGATAGTTTTGAAAGTAGTTTATGATAATTTTGTTATTTTCTTAAAAATTGCAAAAACGCCCTTGTTACTTTAAGAACTCCAAAATGAACTATATACAACTCAAAATCACTAAAACTTAAAATGAATTTATTAAATAAAATAAAAATAACAAATAAATGTAAAAGTTTATAAACTTAGAATTGGCTTTAAGGTATATTTGTAAGTTTTCTTGAATTAGCAAAGATACCCCTACTACCTTTTGCCTTGCTTAAGGAAAGATAGAAAAGTGGTAAAATACAAAAAATTAAATAAAACAATTAATTTACTAAAGAGAAACCTCTAAAAAAATATTCTTAACATGAATAGAAGTGGTTTAAGTGTAAATAAGGTATTTGTAAATATATCATTCTTATTTAAAATTGAATAACTTTCACTTTAAGGCTCTAAATTGAATGAGATTTTTACCCATAAGACAATTGGAATAAAAGGAATTGGAAAAATATAAAAATGATTACAAGTTAATAATTTTTAATGATTTTTCATTAATAAATTCACTAATCTATAAAAAAATTTAAAATGAAATTAAAATAATGTGAGAAATTTTGAAGTTGTTTGGAATCCTATTATAAACATTTTTGTAAGATTTCAAGTATATTGGGGTTCGTTTTGATTTATTCTGAATTTTTTAGTATTTAATCTATTATAAATATCACTAAAAGTAGAATTTTTAGCTTCACAGGTTGTTCTCTTAGACTCCCTACAGACAATTTGATATTTTTTTTCCAGTTCTCCAACTTTTACATTTAAACCAATTTTTATAACATAACTTCTTATCTTTTATCTTTCTTGCACATTATTATTCCACCACAAACTTTTTTTATTTATAAAAAACTTTTTCTTTTGATTCTCCAAGTACAATTGTTACCACTTGTTTAATAATGTTTGTTATTTTATCCCACATATAATTTGTTTCTTCATAAACATCTTAAATTTTGAAATCTTGAATTTTACTCATAAAAATAGAATATTTATTCATGTCTTTTGAGTACTCACATCTAATTCTACGATGATGATTCCTAGTATTCTTTATTTTACAACTCTTCATCTTAAAATCTAGAACTAATAATTGATGTTGATACTTAAATCTTCACTTGGAATGACTTTACATTCTTTACATTCTTGATGATCTCTTCTTCTCATAAGGAAATAATCAGTGTGTGTTTTATTAGATCCATTCTTATAAGTAATAATATGCTCATCTATTTTCTTGAATAAAGTATTAGTAATAACAAAATCATACAATAAAGCAAAATCCAATATAGTTCTACCTTCTTCATTAATCACTTCAAAACTGTAGCCACCATCAATATTTCTAAAATCTTATACCAATCTACTGACATATCCATTTAAATCTCCTCCAATAAAAATTCTTTCTTTAAGAGGTATCATTTGAATTAAGCCTTCTAAGTCATTCCAGAATTCATCTTTAGAACCTATATGAACCTATATCTAAACCTACTTGAAACCTACTTGATGAGCATAATCTTAATGGCTACAATTCTATCTTCAATCTTATTAATTTTTTCAACATTATCTTTCAAACTCTTATCTACAATTACACTTACACAATTCCTATACGATTCTTACTTGAATACCAAAGTTTAAAACTTAACTTATCAATCTTCTTAGCCGTTTCTCCAACCCCTATAATTTATTGAACACATAAGATATTTATTTTTCTAAGAATCATAATATTAACTAATTCCATTAATTTACTAATGAAAATACCTATATTTCAATATCCTATCCTACTATTAGTTTCATGGACTATTTTTTTTTGCCTGCACCCGTCTGTAATGAGGGAACCCTTACTTATTTCACAATACACTCAGGCACCGGTGTAGCGGCCCTTATATACTTCTCACTGTATTCAAACCATACAATGCGCCACTTCCAAAAGAACACCCTACCACTTACACAATGATGAAATAAATTCATGACATGATTTTTTTGACAAGTTTTATGATGGATGTCGACTACCTAATACAACATTCCACTTTTTACACTCAGACTTGGGACCAACAATGACAATGTTGTGACTAAAGAAAACAATAGAAACAACAAGAGAAAAAAAACTTCTTATGACCAACAAAAAATAGGAGCAACGAGATGCATACAAGAGATTCGAAGGCAGGAAGACATACACAAAAAATTTCTCATTAGTATTTATTAACACACGATGCTCACAACATTGATAGGGGCAAAAACCGCAAAGACCAATAATGTTATTGTGAATAAAATAGCAAAATAAAATAAATGTGAAAAAATAATAATGTAATTTACTTAGAAATGAGATTAAAAAAATAAAATAAAATGTTGGCTTCCTAATACACTTGCCTGCTTTCCACCGAAAATCTGCCACAAAACGCACCCTCTTTCGAAACCTACTCTCCTTCCCACAAACCTAGCCTAACTTGCTTCCCCTCTTGGGTTTGGCCAAAACAATCCCCTACATAGCCTAATAACCTAGCAGAACAGTCATTACGGGAGCTAGTTGCAACGATGAGATCACAACGTACAAAGATATCTGGAACTCCGTTATATTTTTTTTCCCACTCAGCTCATACACGACCAACCCTTGTCTTTCTTTCTTTTTTTCTTTCCTCCCAGCCACCTTTTCGCGCTTCAGCTTTTTCAAATCCTATCTCGTAAATCCACCTTCCAATGAGATTTAAGTCCAAGATTTAAGGCCAAACCTAGGAGAAACGAGTTTCAGATCCCGTAATTTTGAAGTTGTGATTTTTGTTGTTTGGGATGATTTAGCTCAAATCCTTCTCAAATTTTGCTGCCAAACAACTTTTTAATATGTTTGGATGGTTCTTATCTCATTGTACGTTGTCCATCTCGTTGTACATTGTTTTTTTAAGCGAAGTTTATATGTTTGATGGGCTGTATAACAACATATGAGATTCAAGTTAATAAGATTTAGTAAATCCTATAAATTCAAATTCAATAAATTCAGAAAAGGTTCAATCACAAAAACTATTTGGCAATAAATCATTTTAAATCCTGTGAAATTGTTTGACAATTTCTATGATTTAAAAATCTCTTATGGTCATTAGACTTTAACAAATCATAATTGGATTTCGTAAATTATGTAAATTCGAATTCTTGAAATATTCCAACATAATAAAAATATTTTAGCTTCTTAAATTCAATTAATATTTTATTTCAAATTATGATAATTAATAATTATATATTTACTAAATTGATTAATTAGCAATACATGCTATTAAATTAATTATTAAATAGAAATTTAACATTTATAAAAGTATATTAATTATGTTAATTATTAATTTCTTCTAATTATTGAATGAATAAAAATTAATATTTATATTTTATTATTACTAATTAAATGATAAATATAAATTCATTTGCATATAATTAGTTTGATAATAATTAATAATTAATCAATTAAATTTATAAATTTAACTGAAAAAAAATAAAATTAATAAAATCTTCTCCTCTGTTTCCGCCGAACCCTCGTTATGTCCTCTCCCGCCTCTGTGTTTTGTCCCAAACCATCACCTTGGTGACCGAACCCTCGCGATACAGTAGCATCAGGAGCTAGCTGGGAACGCACGGGATCGCCGCTTACAGTGACTCGAACTGCCATTTTTCTCCTCCTTCCTCTCCGCTCTTACCCAAACCATCGAGGTAAATTCACGTCTTCTTTTTCGCGCGAAGCGTTCGTCCCAGAGTTACTAAATCCACCGATTCACGGGATTTAAGGCCGAAATCCTTGAAATCCGGATTATCAAATCCGAAGCTTTATTTTGTCCAAAATGGCCGTCTGGCAGATTTAGATTAAACCCAGCTTAAATCCTGCTCTAAATCCGTTACCAGACAGGCCCTTATTGTTTCGGGAATCATAATTGAAATATCAGATTGACATCATAAACATCTTTTTCTTTCTGTGTATTTCTGATGCAGAAGTACAGCTACTTAAGGTTTTGCATGCCCTATCTTATACTTTTATTTAAGATATTATGTATTTAATAATACACAATAATCACAGTAATGCATAAAAAAAGCCAACATAATTCAACTTGCATTTTGCATATGTAGTAATTTTGCAACCTCGTACCTGTTGTTGCCCAGGAGCAATGCAAAGAGGTTGCCTCACATTTTTGGGCGGTTAAGCTTTGTGTCCTCACAATAGATGCACCTGCATTATTGAAAACCTTCATTTTCGTTTTCCATATCTAAATTAGCTGCTGGCATGGCAGAGATAAGTGATTTAAGATAACTGAAATTGATTCATTATTTTAAAATTGTAACTGGAACTGTTTTTGAACGTGAAGAATCTCGGGATTGCTTTGAAATGCGTCGGGAAGGGGATGAAACTTCATCCCTTCCATGTTTTTGTGTGTGTGTGTTTCTGTCTCCATGCCTATTCTTACTAAAAAAATTGAGAGAAAGCACTTTTGGCAAAAGATTGAGAGTTAAGGTTTTTTGGGAGACTAATTTGCATTTAGCATCAAGAATGAAAAAGGATGGCATGGAGCATGCCTCAGTGCAAAGTTTTCATTGTTCATATATAGATGTTGTTTGAGAATCCTTGGCTTTCACTTTACAAATCAAGAATGAATTTGAACTGAGTTTTTTATATACTTTATGCTGTATTATATTCTAATTGATATCATCTGTTTATAGTAATAACATCTTTTCTAACCTACTTTATGCTTAGGAGTGATTTGAAAAGAGTTATTTTTTGAGTGAGCTGGAAGAATTTTAACTGGTTAATGACAATTGTTTCATTGCTTATTGTTTGATGATGATATGTTTTCTGAAGAACTATTATAGTCATATCTCTATTTGTTGTGTAAAATTCCTACATGGTTTTTTTTTCTCAGGTACTTGTTAACCCAAAATGTGGTATTTTCAGTTTCAGAAAAGGATGGTTTTACAAGTTTTCCATCTAATTGAATAAATTTTTATCATTCCCCACTGCTATGCTGTATTAATCATGGGTGAGAATCTCTTCAGTCTGAATTTAGCTGGACTTGTTCTGGATTAACTCCTAGTTTCTCATTTTGTTATGGGCGAAAGCTAAATATATTTTTGAATTTTATTTTGTTACATCAAAATTGCAATTTAGCTATTATTTTTCATATTTTAATTGATGAAGTACCGAAATATAATGAGAGGCTGTCAAGGAAAAACAAAAAGAGTAAGATAATAGAGAATATTGCTTCTGATGAATCCATTGGTGCTTATAAATCTTCTTCTAAATATGAAAAGAGACCTAGAATTCGAAAAGTTATGGGGTTTTCTAGTTGCTCATCTTTTGAATTTCGTTGTTTGCCGGGGTTGGAGCCCATTGAGATTTTTTATTGATACAAGTAGGAAAGGATGGTGAGAAGCTATTGGTCAAGACCAAAAAGAGGAAAATAAAAATGAAGAGAACTTTTACTGAATCAATTGCAGTCAGCGAATCTTCTTCTGAATTTGAGAAGGGACTTGAAATCCAGGAAGGTATGGACTTCCTAGTTGTTCATTTTTTATTTTTTTGTTCTTCTCCAAGGCTAGAGCCTGTTTTGCTTTTTTATTCATCAGGAAAGGTTGGTGAGAGGCTATTGGCCAAGGCCAAAAAAAGGAAGATAAAAGAAAATAGAACTTCTGATGAATCAATCGGTGCTTGTGAATCTCCTGAATTTGAAAAGGGGCCAAAAACCCAGAAAGGTATGGACTTTTCTGTTCGTTCATGTCTTGAATTTTTTTTATTTTTCAATGCTTAATCTCATTGTCATTATCATTTATTAAACTATTGCATTAATGGATTTTGGGATAAGCTTTTTTGTTTTGAATGAACCAAAACATTTTCTCCATACCATACTGAACAACTAGAACATATTTATGGAGTATTGATATTCTTGTATAGAGGCTAATGCTATTATCGATGCAAAATGGCTTTGTTCTACATATTGTTTGTTTTGTGAAAAGTAGATCTTTTTTATGAATTTTATTTTGCCACATCTAAATTGCTATTTGGTTATGATTTTTTATATTTTTTATTGATGCAAGTAATAAAGGACGGTGACAGGCTATTGGGCAAGACCAAAATCAGGAAGATAAAAGAGAATAGAGCTTCTAATGAATCCATAAGTGTCTATAGATCTTCTGAATTTGAAAAGAAACCTACAACTCCGAAAGGTACAGACTTTCCTAGTTGCTCTTTCTTTTAACTTTTGTTTTTTGTTTGCACTGGAGCCTATTGAGATTTTTATTGATCAAGTAGGAAAGGATGGTAAGAGGCTATTGGCCAAGGACAAAAAGAGGAAGATAAAAATGAATAGAATTTCTGATGAATCAATTGGAGCTTGTGAGTCTCCTTCTGAATTAGAAAAGGCACCTAAAATTCAGAAAGGTATTTACTTTCGTAGTTCATCTTTTAACTTTTTGTTCTTTATTAAAACGGAGCCCATTGAAATTTTTATTGATTCAAGCTGGAAAGGATGATGAGAGGCTTTTGGTCAAGCATAAAAAGAGGAAGAGAAAAGAGAATATAATTTCTGAAGAATCGGATAGAGCCTGTGAATTTACCATTGAATTTGAGAAGGAACCTAAAACTCAGAAAGGTATGAATTTCCTAGTTGTTCATGTCTGGACACTTTTTCTTATGATGGATAGCCTAGCCGTTTTCATTTATTCAGCTATTACTTTAATGGATGGTGGAACATGATTGATATTGCAACACTTTCTCTATTTTTGTTCAATTAAAGCTGCCGAAGATTTTTTTGTAGTTGTGCTTGCTTGTGTACCATAGTTAATAAATAATTAAGAAGACAATTTCCTTTTATCCTGTGTATAGAAATATCATATAGAATGCATAATGGTAGCAAGTTCAAAATGCGGGTCTTGTGAAAGACTTTCGACACGGTCATAAAAAGCCCACGTGTTGGTAGATAAAAAATCCAATTCATTTATATTTTGTTATTGGATTGGAAAAAGTAGCTTCAATTTTTTCAGTTCATTCGAGGGTTGAGTTGCAAAGCCTGGACAAGTTTATATAGTTTAGAATGGATATCTGAAACTTGTCTTTCCGTGGAGTCCCGCAGGTGATGCTTTACTTCTGCTATGTTGAACTGCAATGAAATTAATTAACGTAAAATAAAGTAGAAATGAAGTGAACTACAAGGAGGTTAATTGAATTAAAAATGTTAATCAATGTTCTACTGATACTAAGAAACTCATGGTTCTCTTACACTTCTTATAGCTTAGGGATGTAGCATGTACTAAAGTTGGCTCTGTAATTTTTTTCCTTTTATAACTTGAGGAAGGAAAATTTATCTTGTGAAGATGCACAAAAAGGTTTCTGTAAATAAGAAACAAAAGAAGGGTGCTATAGATTGGCACAAGAAGAATACGCTTTCCTATTTGCCTTTTTGGCTGTTATTTTATGTTAACCGTAGAAACTTGCTTTTAAGGTCGAAGATCAACAAAGGTCGATAGTTGGCAAAACCCAATCCAGTTAGAAATATTGAATGAGATTGACAGCTCTATAGAGCCTGATGTCATTACAAATGAATTGAAGACCAAAACTAGTGAATTTTCTAACTTTATAGCCACTGAATGTGTAGCTTTACTGCTTGTTTAAGCAACGTGTTTGTAATTTATTTTATCTATTGCTCACAGGGAAGTTCAAGAAGAATCATAAAGACAAAAAGAAGCCTCTCACAAATGTCAAAGAAAGTGACATTGAAGAGGTTGAAAGTGTTGTTGATGAAATCCCCTCAGTTGATGATGATTGTACCAGAGGAATGAAAAGTACGCTCCAGTCTTTGCTTTTCTCGAAGAATTCTTGCAAGTTGCCTATTTATTATTATTATTTTATTGATCGTTTAGCATATCTATCCTAACATTTTCATACCATATTTGTTTTTTTATGGATAGGTGAAGTTTTATTCATTTAGATATTGACATATTAATGATTGACAATAATTTTTTCTGCCACATATACTTCATTTAGATAATGCCATATTAATAATTGACAACATGATCATACCTTCTCAGAAGTGAGAACTACATATTTCATGTATGTTCTGTGTTGCCCAAGCTCTTAAACTGGTGTTTGATGCAACTTGTTAGCTTTTTGATATAGAGTTAGGCACATATTTGCATTTGGACAGGAATTTTCCAACCTTTTCACTTATTTGTTTTACAATAAGGTAAGTATTGGGATTGATTTTCTTAGCATGGCACATCTGCCATATTCGTCATCTTTTGTAATTTCATTTTTTGGCCTAAAGTACCAAATTTACAGTTGTATATTTATGATAAATGGAATAGGAACATAGGTAGACCAATGCTAGTGTGTTAAAAGTTGTGAGCAGACCTGAACAACGGGTGCATAAGATCTTCTTTTCTAAGTTAAACTATTTATAATATGGGAATTCGATCTTGTAGGTGATCCATCAAATTTCTTATGATTATGATTTAAGTGTTAGATTTTGAAAAGATTGAAGAGACTGTTAATTGAAATTTTAATAATCCAATTTTTTGACAGAACTTGCTAATGGTGTTGACTCTTAGATTACACTATATGAAGAGGTTATCGCTAGGAGACCATAAACACAATTGGCTCTTCAGTTAGAAACCGTACAAGGAGATTAAGGTGCCAAAAAATCCGGCTATTGTATTGACAAGCAGATTACGGGAAGGATTGGTTTAATTTTTAGATTTGTTTGAATAAATTTATTTTTAATTTATAATTTAGGATTAAAATAATTTCTACTAGAATTATTTTTACTTTTAATTTATATAGTTTGTTATGTAGACAGAACTCTCTTTTGTGGAGGTTGTATAGGAGAGGATAATGTAATATTCTTAGTGTCATTGCTGATTCACAAGTCATTTTTCTTGCATAGAAGGGGAAAAATAAATAAAAGAAACTCTAAAATTCTTTCCTTCTCTTCCCCTTAACGGGTATATTTATTTAGGTCACTAGGCTTCAAAGCACACTGTGAGGCCTCATAAGCTTAACCTTTTGTTGGTTATCACATCTCCTGAAGCAAATTGCTCTCTTTGCTGCTATACACAAACGCTCCAAATCCATTGCTTTGATCCTCATAGTTTCGCTGCAGGTATGAAATTGTGGAAATTCTGCTATTTTAGTAATTATATTATCAGTGAGCTGCTGGTGATTTTGGTGAGCAATTACTGGCAAATCTATTGTGAACGATAGATCAACAGAAAATGGCAACAAGTTTTCCAAGTGAAGAATAACACCAGATTGGTGAAGTTTATTGCCATCTATAACCATAAGAAAGGAAAAAAAAAAAAAGACGTGGCTTGCTGCCCGCGCAAAAAACATTAAAAGGAAGGATTATTTGCTATCTATAACAAGTAGGAGAAAATTTTAAATGGGAAATCATTTACAATAACAGTGTTTGAGTTTAACTTTAATTGATCGATAAATCAGCCTTTAAAAAAATTTCCTAAAACCCTTCCATATTTGTTCTAGCCTATATATAGGGATGTGCACTATTGTTAAGAGGTCAGAGCATCTTTATCTTAGTATATGGTACAAATGAAGAAGGATACACAACAAAGGAGAGCCTCTTCTGTCTTACAGTAGCATTCAAAGCCAAGAAAAAAATGAGGAATAAGAACAAAACCAGTCTATAGCTCTCAATAATTCTACAATAAATATGGCTAAGTGATCAGACTGATAGAGCTAGTGGCCATTACGACAGAGTGGATGAGGATGCAAATAATTGCTTTTGCAAGTAGTGGGCCGAGTTGTTTTCCTATCTTCATTTTATATTCACACAAGAACGAGGAGGATGAAAAGGAGAATATGACTACCATTTTTAAAGGAAATATGCAATCATTCATGGTAGAAGCCTGAGTGGAGATTCTTACATATGATGGTAGGTTGATTTCGAGTAGTTGGATGCATGAATCAACCAGTTGGAGAATTTACCTTATTTGAATAGTACACTTCTGGCAAGGTTGTTTTTGCCTAATTAAACTGCCATCCTGCCTTGTGGTAGAACACTGATTTAAATATGAATGCCCATCAAGTGGTTACCTGGGGATGTTCAAGTAGTTTATATGCGAAGAGTTCTACCCTATTAAGCGTAGAAGAATTGTGGAATGAGTGGTATAAATTGAGTCTACTTCAAGAATAATATTTGCAAGGATACAACTCAAAGTTTTTGTCCTTAGATAAATATATTGAGAAATTGGAGATGTATAAACATGATGAAGTAATCTCAAGAATTTATTTTTTATTTGAAATTAAATTTATCCTCTTCTCAATCGCTAATCTTAGCTCGTTTCAATTAGGTTTGTATGACGATGATTTTCATAGAGTGCAAGAACCTAATAGAACAGAGGAAGACTTTATAACCATTTGAAGAAGGAAATCTTTTTCTCTAAAAGAAAGAAAAAAATACCAACATGTCTAAAGTTTCATTTGCACTTATCAAATTTCTAGTCTTTGGAAATTGATGGAAAGAATAAAGTAGGAGAGAAGGGGAGAAAGATTGGTAAAATACTACATTGGATTTACCAAAATTGGACCTTATAAATGGAGATTTTGAAGGGTAAAAACAGTTAAGTAATTAAAAAATCTAATTAGTGTAATAGAATTTTGACGTGCAAGCCGCTAAAAATAATAGACAGAATTTTTAAAAATCAACCACTAATTCGAGCCAATCACCACCTTCTCTGCAAGTCCACATTGCAAGGTGATAAGGGGTAAAGCACCACAAGAATTACTATCGAGTGATGCATGTCTAGTGTTCAGTGCTTATGCAAGTAGAAATTCTACCTTGGGAGAAAATCACCAACTTCATCATGACAAAATTTCCATACAAGGAGGTAGGCCTATTTTCTAAGCACATATTAGCAATAATATCTTGTTTGAGGCTATTCTAAATATGATGGATGATAATTTTTTTTTTTTTACTATTTTTCATATTTCAATATGAATTGCACCTTGAACTTTGAAGATGTGAAAAAGAAAGAAAAAGAACTTTTTGCTGTGTTGGACAACTTTGTGCCATGTTCAACTTTTCTTACTCGCAAGTGACACCAGTGGAAAAGACAATAAAGACGTAAGAATAAGATAGTTGTCATGTACTAATATTTGTAAACCAAGAATAAAAAAAGAATTACAGATGAATGTACAAAAAGAATAGATTTGATTCAGACCATAATCTTTATTGGATTTAACAATTTCTTAATTGAAGGACGAACTCGAGGAGTCGAAGGATTACAAATGAATGTACAAAAAGAGTTTCATTCTGTGAACCGGAGACTCAACAATGCTATCACAAGAATTGAAAAGCCTTATGGACAACCAAATATTCTTGTAGAATATATAGCTTTACAATGAAAATAGAGAGTCTCATTTCAAAAGGCAATGAAAAAAGCTATTGAATTAACTGAACAAACAAGTACAAAAGGAATTCAAGTGCAAATTGCAGGGCGTGTCGACGTAAAAGAGATTGCATGCGTCGAATGGATCAGAGAAGGTAGGGTTCCCTTACAAGCAATTCGCGCTAAAATTGATCACTATTCCCATACAATTAGAACTTTCATCTATGGAGCATTAAAATTTGGATATGTGTAAACCAAGAATCAAAAAATGAAGAATAATTGACCTTTTTTTATCTCGCTATTCTGCTCATCGATCTAAAAAATTGAGAAACTTTTTTCTTTCTTTTTTTTCTTAATCAAAGAAAAACGAGCATTTAGAATTCTATAAGATTGAAGAAAAATTTGATTTCACCTTTCTTTCTTTTAGATTTTAGTCTAATTGCTAGGCTCAGTGTGTGACTCTTTAGTTTTATCTTTAGAGTTGAGAATTGAGATTGAAAAAAAAAGGGATGTGGAAAAATGGAAGGATGATATAAAGAGAGAATAAAGATCTCAATATAAAGATCTCAATATATATGTTCCCATATGTATGGTTTTTGAAGAATTACACCATAAAAAAAAAGGCAGTGTTCTAAAAGTTTCATTATTGGCTGCCAAATTTCTAGTCTCATCAAAGAAGAATGTTTGAAATTGATGGAAAGAATAAAGTAGGAGAGAATGGGAGAAAGAGTGGGAAAATACTACATTGTATTCACCAAAATTGGGTCTTATAAATGGAGATTTTGAATGGTAAAAACAGTTAAGTAATTAAAAAATCTAATTAATGTAATAGAATTTTGACTTGCAACCCGCTAAAGATAATAGATAGATTTTTTATAAATCAACCACTAATTCGAGTCAATCAACCACTTTTCTTGCAAGTCCATGCCGCAAGGTGATAAGGGGGTGAAACACCACAATAATTATTGTCAAGTGATGCATTTCTAGTGTCCAATGCTTATGCCAGTTGAAATTCTACCTTGGATGAAAAACACCAACTTCATCATGACAGAATTACCATACAAGGAGGTAGGCCTATTTTCTAAGCACATATTAGCAATAATATCTTGTTGGGGCTATTCTAAATATAATGGATGATAATTTTTTTTTTTATTTTTCATATTTCAATAGGAATCGCACCATGAACTTTGAAGATGGAAGGAAGAGAAAAAATAATGTTTTTCTATAGTGGACAACATTGTGCCATGTTCAACTTTTATTACCTGCAAGCGGCACTAGTGGAAAAGGCAATAAAGACGTAAGAATAAAATTTCTGTCACACACTCCTCTCATATCAACATGAAACAAAATAGGGCCGTTGATTCAGTTAGACATATTCTCCATCAACACTCATCTTGAATTTCTTAAGCAGGATTGATCCAGTAAATCCTGACTAAAAA